TCATTTTCGACTGGTGTTGAAGAAGAGAGAGAAACTGACCACCTTGGACATGTTTTTCAAGAACCAGCTGCCAAAAAACAAAGGATGGAACAAGAAGAGTTGACTCTGCAAGNTTTCGCCTTTATTGAAGCAAAATTGTAAAACATACCTAATTTTCTCTTTGTTAACTTCCGTCTTTTACACCCTATAACTCACAACTGAATTGACCAATCAAAAAATTGTAAAAGAATTTTTTTTAGTACAGAATGTCACTTTTCCAATAAGCACAAGTCTGAACTTGTGTCATCAATATTTTATGAGATATGTATCACTACAGCCATCTAGTGACAAAATAATGGATTTCTTTTTCCCCAACCTAATATTTCTATGGGAAAATGCATTTCATATAATGGACTTTTCACTTAACGGACATGCACCTGGAATGGATATGAAACTGTGCTTTGAAATTTGTTTCTGCTTCTGACACAATAAAGTGCTATAAATTATGATACTTGGAGGTTTTTCTCATCTTTATTTAGTTGATCAACTAAATAAAGATGAGAAAAACTGCCAAGTGTCTTAATTTATAGCACTTTATTGTGTCAGAAATGGGAACTATTTTTTTATTAAAGTTTGTATCAGATAATGAAAAAATTAAAACAAAGTTTATTTTATAAGAATATTCTTACTATGATCTATGAATGTATGTCTCTTTAATCTGAAATTAAGTTTGGTAGACTATCATTACAGCTTTCAGGTTAGACACTTTTTTATTGTTTTGACATATGCATTTCAGGCTTATATAAATGCTAAGCCCCTCTTCAGTGCAATACTACAAATTATTAAAAAAAACAACAATTAGTAACATGACAAAATTTTCTTGCATGTAGGTCATATTTACTGACATAAAACTATCATACTTAAAATACATGTGGTTCTGTCTTCTAAAACCATAGTGTATAACGGGTAAAATTGGAAAGATTTTTTAATACAGCCATTAAAAACACCAAAAATACACTTTCCAAACATTCATATGGAAAACCTAATATATTAATATTTTTATAATTTTTTTCTCTTTATAACATCACATATTCCAATAAAATAACAATATAATATGATACATACCCACTTTTATATTTTTCAACATGTGCTCATAAAATCTTATATAAGTACAACTTTTAAAGAATGTGTATTTTCTACATAACGTTGCAGTAACTGTAATTATAATTGTTTTACAGGTTAATTACATGCAGTATAGTAATATTAAAATCATTTTCAAGAGAATACATACATAATTTCATAATATATTTCCATTCATTTTCTAATACAACACTGTGTATGACAAATACATTACAATCACATTTTCCCTTAGTGCCCTCTATCATATTGTTCCACTGTTGATCTCTTTGCATACCATTTGATATATTGATTAAATTATCTTTAAATCATCTTTAAATTTTATAATTTCAATATGTTCCTTAAATTTACATTTATACATATCTTTTTCCAAATGAATTATTTTTATGTTATTTCTATCTATTTGACAATTACTATTTCTTATATGGCTGAACCATGGAGAATTATTATATTTTAATCTTATTGCTGCTTCATGTTCTTTATTTTTTAATTCTAACGTTCTACTAGTTTCACCTATATAATTTTTTGGTTTTTGGCAATTACAATTAATTTTATATACANTATATGGAAAAATAAAAATCAAGTTTAAGTCATTTTATTCGACTTTGTCTGTCAGCAACAAATATTGAAGTCGTAATATCACTAGAAAAGCGTTTAAAGCACATAAAATCATATTAAAATATATACATTTACAACTATGTGCTGTGTTTACAGTACTTGCATTCGTAAATTTAGATTACTTTTTTCTGTATGTTATTAAAAACTAAAATTTATTTGTTTGTAAGCTTAAAATAGATCCTTATTAACCATATATTATTAAAAATGCATTAATAAATAAAATACAGAACCGGAATTGGCAATTTATGGTTTAGCCTAGTGACAAGTAGATTTGGAAACAAGTAAATTCGACTTACGTCGTTTTTCAACTTAAGTCGTTTTCCTGGAACCAATTACCGACGTAAGGCGAGGTATACCTGTATATCAAAATTTTATTACATAGTTAAGAACAAGGCATTCACTCACAAAAGTCATAAGCCATTCTATTCAGTTGCTACTCACTGTGAAAGTGAAGATACCCATAACCTACCATCACTTAGGGTAAATGCAATAAGCAACAGCGAAAGTTTTAGTATGACAAATTTTATGATTGCTATCACGAAAAACATATCTGCAAATATAGAGACCTGGCTATATATACTGTGGTGCCTCTTATAATGTTTGCCTTGAATAATGAACGCTGCAAGCAACGGACTTTCTGTTTGGCCGTTACGTGACTCGAGCAATGGACTGGCTGCGAACAATGGACTTTCCGTTCAGCAGTTACATGAGGCGAACAACTGACTTTCTGTGAACAAGTGCAAATGATGTTTCCACTCTTTTGCTGTCGCCAATGACAATCTGCTATTTTTATAATATATCAGTATTATTAGAATATCTGAAGTACAGAGCTCCAGTTGGGATTCGGCTTGCTCCCTTGTTTATTATGTACATCACCTCAGTGCAGGGTTTATTCATTTATTCATTTTCAAGTGTTGTGCAAATCATGGCTTCTAAAAAAACAGAAAGGTGATTTCAATTGAAACAAAGCAAGAAATCATCAGAAGGAGTGAAAGTTGACAAAAACTTCCTTGTCAAATGGGGAGAGGTTCAGGAGTTTACCAACACTCATTATTCAGAGCTGAGGCCAACAGGATCAATGATCTCTACAATGATACCCTTGCCCGTCATTTTCGACTGGTGTTGAAGAAGAGAGAGAAACTGACCACCTTGGACATGTTTTTCAAGAACCAGCTGCCAAAAAACAAAGGATGGAACAAGAAGAGTTGACTCTGCAAGCTCCAGTAGCCTCTCCTGAATCTGACTCCGATTAAAAAACAATAAAAAGAGACCTGCTGCAATGTGTAAAAAGACTGTATCTGTATGAATGGGTGAAGAAAGTGTTCCTCCACCTCCTCCTCACAACATCTGACTATCCGGCATAATTGGTGACTGCTCCATTTTCTTTTATGGTACAGTACGGTTATTTTATGCTGCGGAACGAATTATATGTTTTAACATATATTTCTATGGGAAAATGCATTTCATATAATGGACTTTTCACTTAACGGACATGCACCTGGAATGGATATGAAACTGTGCTTTGAAATTTGTTTCTGCTTCTGACACAATAAAGTGCTATAAATTATGATACTTGGAGGTTTTTCTCATCTTTATTTAGTTGATCAACTAAATAAAGATGAGAAAAACTGCCAAGTGTCTTAATTTATAGCACTTTATTGTGTCAGAAATGGGAACTATTTTTTTATTAAAGTTTGTATCAGATAATGAAAAAATTAAAACAAAGTTTATTTTATAAGAATATTCTTACTATGATCTATGAATGTATGTCTCTTTAATCTGAAATTAAGTTTGGTAGACTATCATTACAGCTTTCAGGTTAGACACTTTTTTATTGTTTTGACATATGCATTTCAGGCTTATATAAATGCTAAGCCCCTCTTCAGTGCAATACTACAAATTATTAAAAAAAACAACAATTAGTAACATGACAAAATTTTCTTGCATGTAGGTCATATTTACTGACATAAAACTATCATACTTAAAATACATGTGGTTCTGTCTTCTAAAACCATAGTGTATAACGGGTAAAATTGGAAAGATTTTTTAATACAGCCATTAAAAACACCAAAAATACACTTTCCAAACATTCATATGGAAAACCTAATATATTAATATTTTTATAATTTTTTTCTCTTTATAACATCACATATTCCAATAAAATAACAATATAATATGATACATACCCACTTTTATATTTTTCAACATGTGCTCATAAAATCTTATATAAGTACAACTTTTAAAGAATGTGTATTTTCTACATAACGTTGCAGTAACTGTAATTATAATTGTTTTACAGGTTAATTACATGCAGTATAGTAATATTAAAATCATTTTCAAGAGAATACATACATAATTTCATAATATATTTCCATTCATTTTCTAATACAACACTGTGTATGACAAATACATTACAATCACATTTTCCCTTAGTGCCCTCTATCATATTGTTCCACTGTTGATCTCTTTGCATACCATTTGATATATTGATTAAATTATCTTTAAATCATCTTTAAATTTTATAATTTCAATATGTTCCTTAAATTTACATTTATACATATCTTTTTCCAAATGAATTATTTTTATGTTATTTCTATCTATTTGACAATTACTATTTCTTATATGGCTGAACCATGGAGAATTATTATATTTTAATCTTATTGCTGCTTCATATTCTTTATTTTTTAATTCTAACGTTCTACTAGTTTCACCTATATAATTTTTTGGTTTTTGGCAATTACAATTAATTTTATATACAACTCCTGATTTTTTAAATTTATCAACATTCATTTTATATTTATTATTATTATTATTGCAAATATTACGTGAAATTTTATTGGTCAAAGATGGAGCCAAAACGATATTTTCTTTTTTTAAAATCTTACTACAATTATTATAAACATTGATATAAGGAAAAGCTTTATAATTCTTATCTTTTTTATATTTGATATTAAATCTGTTTTTGTAATACTGATTGTGCCACATTTTTAACTTGTAACTGGGGTAATTATTCAAAATAAATTTATTCTCTAATTCTTTTAATTCAATTTTACGATTTATATTATTAGTAGTTCTTGTATATATATTTTTGGACCCATTATGTAGATGTTCTTTTTTTATAGTTTCAGGGATGCAAGATTGATAATTGATGGTTTTATTGATGCTACATGATTTTTTAAACATTTTAAAAGAAAATTTGTTTATTTCATTAGTTATTGTTATATCTAAAAAATTTATTTTTGAATTTTGCTAACGTTCATTTTCAGGATATTAGAGATTGTACAGGTCCATTAGAAGTTTTGAATATACTTAACATGAAAGTTGGAGAAAATATTAGAATTCTCAAAAACTGTCTTGAAGTAAGTTCCTTATTATTTGTATCTTATTATTATGATATATGAAAGAGAATTAAAAAAGCATATGACTTTAGTTTATTTCAGAATAGCTATTTGTGTACGGAATATATGTAAAAATATTTTTATAGAAAATACATACAGAATCTTTTGGAATCACTGATGAAAATGTATTGAACCAAGAGTTTGACATCTTTAAGAGTAAAGAGTAAGCAGTGATATCCAAACTGATCAAAAATGATTCCTTAAATAATTTACCAATGACAATTAAAAACTTGCCAGTGTATGATATGGTATACAATAACAATGAATACATAGATTCAATAAGAAAGAATATACAATTGAACTTCATAAATTTGAAGTTCAAAATGAGTGCATTGATAATTATTAAGTAAAACAGATACACTGTACTTACTTTGGGTGTCACATTTCCATGTTAAGCTTACTTCACACTGAGAGTGAATCACTGGCAAAAGTGAAAAACAGAATGAATAACACATCATACATTACGTCATTTCTGGCAAATTTTATCATTTTGTGAATCGTCAGAAGTTTAGAACTGTCAGAGTTTTGTGCTAGGAAAAAAATTTCACCATCAATTATAGTCCTGTTTGTTGTCATTGTTCTAGTGTTCTTCTATCAATATAGCTATCAATTTGGCTATTAATGAGGACTTATCATACCACAGTCAAAAAGTGATAGAGTAGAACTTTATTCTTTACTTAACTCTAAAATGTGCATTTTGGATTTTTGACCCCTCTTCAGTTGGAATAGACCCATCTTCAAAAACTAGTAAAATTTATAAAAATTACAATGTTACATATATTTAAACTCAAGAGTTACACAATTTTTTTTTTACTTACAATTGTAATTTAAAATTTTCCATGTATAATTTTCTTCTTTCAAGTACAATTTTACAAAAACTATCAAAATTAAATAAATTACAATATTATATACATTTATAAAACTATAAGTAATACAGTTATAAAATTTTACTTACAATAATAGTTCCAAAATAAATTCTTTATCTTTTGTACTAATTTAAAACTTTAAAATTAATAGTTCACTGATCACAAACTACATTATGTTAATTCTCTAATCAGAAGTTTACTCAACCCTGTCTTCATCTAACAACAATAACTGTAATCATATATTATCAATTTTCATTCTTTCATTTTCATTCATACAATTATTAAACTTTTTCTTTATTTTTCTTTAATTTCTAAATTTTCTTTTAACTTTCTCTTAAATTTATTTTTTCCCATTTTAAAATTTTATTGTACTTGGAAGAATGTTTTCTTTAATGTTTAATTAACAACTAGTTTTGTTAGATCTGATTAATTTTATAATTTAGTCACAGTTTAACAGGCATACCGATCATTCTGCAAAACTACAGTACTTCAATAAGTTTGAAAATATTAGGTTACATTTCTAAAAATTAAAATACAAATATAAATTATAAAGTTCCATTTATGGAAATACTTAGTTGCATGTTATTATGATATAGTAAGATATGTATTAACTTATATGTTGGAACTATCACTTGTATAAGAAAAAGAAACTTTACATCAGTTCAAAGAAAGTGCACCGAGCTATGGATAGTGTATCTGTTTCTTTAAAATTAATCTTTGCTCCATTGTTAAGTACATGCAAATTTCAATGGCCTTCAAATATTTAAGGTATGCCTTATCAGAAACCATGTGTAACAATTATATGTCCTTTAAAAGGAGAGGGCCAGACGTTCGGGTCTCCAGTTCAAATGAAACTTGGTGAGCAAGTAGCCCTAAATACAAACAGTTCCCTGTCCAAATAATAGGACCCACTTCTCAAGCATTTCCGAAAAACAGGCCTCTGAAAATTGAATGCTTAGCTTATGTCTTTGGAAGTTTCACATATCAGAACAATGATAGCTGAGTGGATAAGATTCTAGGCACTGGAGCTACATGTTGTAGATTCAAACTTCTGAAATTTTAGCATTTTTTATGTGTATCATAATTATCCTATTATTTTACTGTATCATTAGCATTATTATCACTATTATTATTTAAAGCTTTTATTTAAAACAAGTGATTGAAAAAAACATGATGTCATTTCCTGTTTAGTGAAAATAAAGTCTCTGTAGATTTAACTCTTGTATGTCATTAAATAAAATTTTCATTTTCTCATATTTATTTTCAGATATTTTTGCTCATGGTTACATACTTTGTCAACACAAGTGAATAAACTTCAGATGTTACTGCAGATGGACAAAAAAGATAAGTCTGATAGGAAAATAGGGTATCATAATTTTATTAATTATTAATGTTATGGACAATTTCCTCATGTGTTCATGTTTGCTACACTTCAAATATAACAATATCCATATATCATATCTAATATACCATATCTGAAAATTAATATGAAGAAATAAAAATTTTATTTAACGACATACAAGAGTTAAATCTTCAGAGACTTCATGTTCCCTAAACAGGAAATGACATCATGTTTTTTCAATCACTTGTTTTAAAAGCTTTAAATAATAGATAATAATGCTAACAACACAGTAAAATAATAGGATAATTTTATGATTATGTCACCACCAGAGGGATATTTTTAACCTATTTACGTATAGAGGGGGACCAGTAGCCTCAAATAAAAAGTCTACTCCATCATAAAATTGTTATTTTCCTCATGTGAGTGTGAAAGGACTAAGTGAAAAGTCACATTTTGTGTGTATTGTCTACTCAAGAATTTTCTTAAAATTTTTGTAAACTTAAATTTGTCCTGACTAATTTTTATAAAATGTATTTTTTCTAATATTTTGTCATCATCCACTAACCCATCTGGGCTTGCAGCTAAGAACGGATATTTTGGATGAAGAAACATGCCACATTCTTTCACAGGAGTATTTACAAAAGAAGAATATGCTGCAATTGCTTCTTTTTCATAACTTTAATTCATGAGAAATTGCGTTACTTTTTATTGGCCTGCTTGATAGTAATGAGGCACACAATTTCAGTGTGTCTGCTGATTTTAATTTACAAACTTTTCCAAAGTTTGAAAGTGTCAAATGCAACAAATGTTCCTTCTTCTAAATTCCATTTTTTCGTTGTGATTCAGTCTCTTTTTCCAAATGTTCTACGTATTCCATACTTGCTTAGTTAGCATTATTATCACTATTATCGTAAAGAACTTAAAAACATTTCAGACATTGTGCTTTTACAATAATCATGATCAGACTCTAAAGCCCTTATGTTTGCTGATTGCCTTAATTGCAATATTAGTATTGCATAACCACTCTTCATGTTCATTGCAAAATTAACAACAAAGTTTGTATAATCAGGAATTGAACTGCCAGGTGGTCTGGGATCAAATTTCACATCTTCCAATCATTTCCTTTTCATTCCTCTCTTGATAAATATATGAAAGTATACTAACCTTAATTGAGGAACCTTTATGTTTGCGGGTAGGCTGGTGGAATGATTGGACAACCTGTGTGTATGTTTTGTGACACTTATATGTGCCTGTTCTTCCATATTATTCTATTGGCAATATGCTTTAGCCTTAACCTGTTGTATATTCACATATTGCATTTTCCATATCCCCATCATCTGTAATTACTAAATCCATATATATGTTTCCTTGGTTAATTCAAATTTTACATTACCCTTAAAATATGAAAAATTCTTTTCTTTTGTTCCTCTTATTGTTAATAAAAATTCATTAAAATACATCTGCACAGCATACAGTGGCATTCTTTGATCTGACATCTCCATATATGCACAAATTATCTCTATAGTCAAAACTGGTATTTGTTAACTTGGAGAGAGATTCTTACATTCAGATGAATCAGGAAGTTTGAGTGCAGGAGAGCTATCACAGGATATAGAAAAATTGAGTTTCCTGATTCCTCTCATATACCAGTAACCTGAAAATTATTGTAAGCAAGTTTACTAACTAGTTAACATATGATCACAAGTATTTTTTTTTATAAATTTAAAATAGGAATTGGAGAAACTAAGTAATGAATATGATAAAGAAGAAGACAGGAAGAGAATACTGGATGAACTAGAAAATCATCATAAACAGTTGACAAGGTAAATAATGTAATATTTTATTAGTAGGTCCATTTTAATAATAATAAAACTTTTTGATGCTTAGTGTATAAATAAAAATATATTCTCCAAACAAAGCAAATTGTTACTTTTAAACAGAAAACAGTTCAAGTTCATAAGAGTAACATGACAAAATATTGGAATTATTAAAAAACTTTGCTTTAATGGAACAGAAAAAATACAGGAAAAAAGGTCCAAGCACTTCTATTATAATTACACTTTGAGGTCAATATCTATTTTCAGAAATTAAGAAAATTTTAAAAAATGTCATTACTATGTATTTTAGTATATCATTTACTATGTCATTACTATGTATTTCATAATAACCATTTATTTAGAGAAACAAAAATAATTAAAAAATAAAATTAAAATTAAGCAAAGGCTGGGTCATTTAAAATATTCCCTTGTGCAAAGCTTTATAGATTTCTATTTTATGTCTTCAATATCAAAACTATCTTTCTTACACTTGCTTTTTTTTTTTAATTTAAATTCCTAAAGATGAGCATTTGTTAAACAATATGAATATTGAAGCAACTGAATATTTTTTCTTGAATTCTCCAAATGTAACAAATTTGTATTTAAAAATATTTTTTGTGTCTGACCTTTTGTATTCATTGAAATAAATAAATTATAAATGATTTGAATAATATATATTCATAAAATTTGTAAATGCATTTAAATTTGAAATATAGTGTCAAACTTTGACATTGTTATAACAATACTACAAATAAAATTTATGTATAAATGGTGCACAAAAGTACAAGGATTGTATAGTAAATATCTGAACTGATTTTATTACTAAATATTATGCATAAAAAGAAATTATAAACATTATTTTTCAACTTAATCCATTTCCACTTTCAAACTTTTTTTTTTTTAGTTCTATATTCTTCAGCAGAATATTCTTTTGGCTGGTAGAACTGTATCAATCATTTTATCATTGTCTGCATAATTTTTTGTCAAGATATTCTTTCAGAAATCAAACAAGTAATAATCACATGGTGATAAGTCCAGAATGTAGGGAGAATGAGGTAGCATTTTTATCTAATCAAAGAAGCTCTTCAGCATCCAGTAAAATGTGGAAGATGAAACAAATGTTTTTGGAATCCACCTGATTCCAGCTTTGGGTTGAAATAGTTCATAGTTCATTTATAATTGGAATACACTGAATTAGAAACAAACTATATCAACCTGAAACTGGAATCAGATGGATTCCGAAAACATTTGTTTCATCTTCCACAATTTACTGGTTGCTGAAGAGCTTCTGTGATTAGATATTAATATGTTTCCAGTAATATAGAAGTACATCTTTTATTTTTGTAGCATTTTTATTTTGCTAAAGAAACTACAAAGGCTAAAACCTTATAGTTTCTTTAGCATAATCCTACAAGATAATGCCTTTGATTGATATTCTAGCTATTTTCTTGTATAGGACATACCAGACAATAGTTCAGTATAGATCAGTGCATTGAAAGTTAATGCACTGAGCTACTTCCTTTCTTCAGGTATTTCATATGCACTATACCACTGTAATTCCAAAGATCAGTGCCATGACTTTACCAGCAGAGAGATAGCTGGATATGGAATCTCTTGAAAAATGATTGCACCATTAAAATACAGATAGGTAGGCTACAGTACTGTCTCCTACTACACAGCAGAGGATTTTCATGCTGCTGACACTTTCCTCTACAAGAAACTTCATTACAATTCACTATTCATGAATAGGCATTAAACATTCTAACACAGTCTTTAATAATGAGATTGGAAAATAAGCCATGATGTTTGCAAAGTTCTGACATGCTTTGCCCAATATGGCAAGTGATGAGAGACAAATGGCTATGAGGTTCAATTGACCTATATTGCTGTGCTTATCCTAATATATAAAGTGAGATTGTTTGTGTTTGCTAGATGTAATCTTGGAATCTACTGAACCAACTTTTAAAATTCTTTCTTTATTGAAAAGCTTAATCTTTCCAGATGAACATAGGCTATATGCTATTTTTACATTAAAAAAGGCAAATGCACGAGAAAGATGTTTTTACTGCAGCATTTGTCTTGCATTGTCATTTGTCTGCCCTGATCAAGGTCAGTCAGTCCCTTTTGCCACCTGTGAGCTATTTTAAACTTATTATCTTATATTTTCAGTTTCGGTTTTGATTCTTGCAGTTTGAGTAGTTGTGTATGTGCTTTGTTTATATTGTCTTGGTCATTTGTTTCTTATAATACTCTTATGTTAACAGATACAACTATAAAGAGTGAATTTACTTTCCTTAGATGAAATTAAACTTTTGTATGTAGGCCTACAGCTTCTTTTTATGTTTATTGTTTTAATATTAATCTTATCACACCATTATTTAAAAATAAGAATTAGTCTTATGTTATCAGATAGTATGTCTATGTAAATTGAGTTCTTTCAGTTACTTTTCAAGTGTACACATATGTGAGTGAGCTTTATCATTGGTAATATGCCTAAAAGAAAGTTGCAATTGTCATAAAATACATCCATGTCAAGAGAAAGCTGTTACTTTCCAATGTAGTGTGTGTAAGCTACCTTAAAATTTAAAATCCCTCACTCCTTCCTGCTGATTTAATCTTCTCTACAAACTCCCAAACCCTGGACCAAATTCTGCTTAGTACCCTAAGGGAAACAGGGATTACCATAAAAATAAGACTCTACACTCTTCCTCTCTGATTTCATCTCCCTACCCCAAACTCTCAAATCTTTTAAGCAACCTAAACAAATTTTGCATAATTTGCTATAATTCTCCAAACAAAAATACATTAAAACTTCTTTTAATGTATTTTTGTTTGTCAAATATTCTTTAACTCAAAAAAAATGAAGCACTCAGTAGGTCTCTTGAATTTCCTGAACTCAAATATTCTCCAAGTCAAATTTTTTATGGTCCCCTGACACTGATTTAGGTTACTTTCAGCTTCCTTGATTTGAATTTTAATATTTATTCTGTCAAAAGTGATCCTAATTATTGGATATCCATGAAATTTTAGATAGATAGTTGTATCTACTATCCAACACCCACTTGCAGACAACATTCCAGTCTAAAGTGAGAGGAGCTTTCTTTATCTCAACAAGATGTACCTGCAAAACTGTTTGATTCCATTAGTTATATTGAATATTTTGCTGAAAGGCATTACATGGGCTATTTAAAACACAAAACTACCAGAGATCAATGCACAAGAGGTAAAAATACAAATCTATTCAGAATCTGCATTTTTCACTCTATTGTTTTCTAACTCAAATCAAAGTTCCAAGGGGCTGAAAAACTCAAAGTTTTTTCTGCCCCTTGGAATTTTGAGTTAGAGAAATTTTACTGTATATACTACTTAAAAAGTTAGACCCTCACTCCTACTAATTTCATCTCTGCAAATTGCCAAACCCTTTGACTGATTTGCATCAAATTTTGTAGAGTTACTCTCTGCCACCTGTGGGAACATACACTACCTATAATGAGTTGTCCTCATTATAGGGTAGCATATCCTATAGTTTCTTCTTGAATTCCCAGGCAACACTGGGCATTTTCTTTGCTAGTTTGAAATAATATCAGTCCAGATATTTACTAGACAACCCATACACATTATTATAGCTGTATTAATTTGTTTTATTTTATTTTTATTATTAAAATTAACTAATTAAAATACTGAAAATAGAATTAAAAATATAAAAATCCAGCAATGAATTACATAACTTTTCTGGCAAAAAAATTTAAAATTGTGTACTGTGTCATCAGTTATTATATTTTATTAAAAAGACTTTTTGTATTATTAATTTTTATAAAATGGCAAAAAGGTTAATTTTGAGTGTAGAGATGAGTTTTATAAAAAGTTGTAAATGCTAATAACAAGTAAAATCTTCTTTAAGTCACTTTTATTAGTTAATTATGAAAAATTGATTTAAATTGAATTATTTTCAAGAAAAAATTAAATACAATAAAATGCAAAAAATAACAGGTTGATGAATGACATAATAAATTGGTCTATAAAATAGTTTATTTCATTCCAGCTACAACGAGAATAGTTAATTTCCTACCAACAGTTCACTGAACTGAAGTATACCTGTAGAATTTTAAAATATGAAATTTAGGGGGGGAATCAATTGTTTTGAACCATCAGGTACAATTGTGCCCCAAGAACCAGTGAATAATAATCTGAAACAATCCTATTAATTAGATTTTTCAGTTTTTCTCTTCCTCTTTTAATTTGTTGCAGTTAGATTATTATTTCGGTTTTACTATTGTTTGTTTTAAGATCAAATTATGTTATTGAAGCTATAATAAATAGTCATAAATAACGCAAAACCAATTGAAGGGCAGTGAAAAAATTAATTAGTCAAATTAGTCAAAACAACAATTGATATCCAAAGAAAACATCTGAGATGTAAAAAAAAAATATTGCACCAAGTAAAAATTATGGCACTCGAAATGAAAGTACAGGTAACCCCCGTATAACACGGCACTTCTATAGCACGGATTCACTCTAACACGGTTCGAGAATTGGTACCATCCCCTGTATAACACGGCACTTCTATAGCACGGATTCACTCTAACACGGTTTGAGAATTGGTACCATCCCCCGTATAACACGGTACTTTTATAGCACGGATTCACTCTGACACTGTTCGAGAATTGGGTAAAACCCTCGTACAACAGGAAATGTAATAAATTTTTACATACTTAAGTAATAATAGTTCACGAAAATTATTATTTTCTTGAACTATTAGTACTTAAGTATGTAAATTTTCTCTTCTCGCCTTCTGTCGATACACGTGGTCCTTCTCGAAACTTGTTTCAATGTTGCCAGATCGCGACGCTTCTG